GACTCGGATCTAATGAAGCCGGCTGCTGTGGCCGCTTTGAGGTTTCCACAGCAACCTCTTCCCGACTTTGTGGTGTTTATTTCCTTTAATCTCCTGGCGTTACCGTTATGTTGATCTATAGTTTTGCAGTCTGTGAAGAAAAATGTGCCACACTATCCCACGTGGAAAGAATTGCACGGTAGCTTGTGTTGCCTGCGAGGCAGGGGCTTTTTCCCACAAAAGCTATGGTCCGGAGTCTGTTGTACTTGATAATAACTTGCTGGTGTGAGATGAAGAAATCGGATCTTTGGGGAAGGCACCTTGGAGGAAGTGCTTGTTTTAGTTATGTGTTGCCTGCACTGTACCCATAGCTTTTTTTTTGAGAAGTCTTTTTTAGTTACAAGGCAGGTAAGTTGCACCCCTGCAATACAGCCATTAGAATAAAGGTTGCAGAACCCGAAGGAGCGTCCTCTGTGATTTGGCTTTTCAAAGGAGGGCTTTACTTTGGCAGCAAGTATGGGGTGCTTCACTTTTGGTACTGTGGTGTCTGGCATGTGGAGAGCAGAAGGATTAGTAAGGCTTGTTAAGCAGTTCTACTCAAAAGTAACTGCACAAGACAGACCAGATCTTAATTACATAGGTCAAGTGCGGTGTTCTTGAAGTTCTGCCGGTTTGGACGGCGCTTTGAGCAACGTGGTCTAGTGGAAGGTGTCCCTGCCTGTGGCAGGGGATTAGAACTGGATGAGCTTTAAGGTCCCTTCCATCTCTTAACCATTCTGTGATTCTGTCTAAGCTTTGTGATCTATACAGAAGATTACTGCATTGCAACATTTGGCCTAGACTTGCAACTATCCTTTATAATGCAGTTGGTTTTCAGGTATCTCGGTGCCAGGTGACAAAACAGCTGAAAGGTAGCGTTTTGGTTTTTAGCTAGCGCTTCGGTACCGAGTTTCTGCGCGATGTGTTCTGCTGAGGAACTCTTTGCTGCCTCTCCCTTGTGTGTAGTCCCAGGAGAGGGAAAAGAAAATGCTAAAACTGGGGTAGAAGTCTCAGGGTTTGGTATGAAAGGATAGTAGAGGGAGGCTAGCTTTCTGGAGTCCTAGTTAGTCCTGGTCACTTCTCGGTAGTCTGTTTTCTTCTGTGGTTTTCTTGTTTCTGTGTGGCTTCTTTCAGCTTGGTGAACTTTGGTTGGTTGGTTGGTTTGTTTGTTTTTAACTTGGGGCAGGGCTAGCACAGAGCAGGGAGAGAGAGAAGAAATGGGAAAGCTTCTGCAGTGAAAGAGGGTTGATGCACTTGACTTAGAGTTGACTGCTATCCAGTACAGTTTTACATTCTCATTTCAGCTTGCCTGCCTGAAATTAATGTAGTGTTTGTGAGTCTAAGCCTCGACTGAAGACCTTGCTTTCCTCCTCTGTAAGGGCAAGCTAAGGTGGGCAGATTGCAGCGTGCGATGGTTGTGCCTATCAAGACTCATGGAAAGGGACCTGGGTGTGCCTGGGGCCTCCAACTCAGCATCATTCGTCCTCCTTCAAACTATTTGGGATATCTTGATCAGTGGGAACTAATGGAGTTCTCTTTTTGTAGAGTTCAGTGCAGATCACGTTCGAAGAGGGTTCCCAGCTACCACCAGCTGCAAGTATAAGCCGAGTGATGTGCAAGGGACAGTCGGACCGCAGCATGGTAAGGCTTTGCTAGTCTGAATTGTTCTGTATGTGTTTCTTCTGTCGACTGATGTGTGTTGTAGGGAGGCTGCTGAGAGCTGCGTGATAGGGATCGTGGAACTGGGGAGGTTTCGGGCAAGATTCGTTGTTGAGTTTGGTGGTGTGCCAGCCGACTCTGGGGGAGCCCTAGGGGAGATATGTCAATGGAGCTAGGGCATATGTATGCTGAGCCCAAATATCAGGATCCTGCAGTGGAGAGGAAAAGAGAGATCTTGTCACCAGTATGTCTTTACTGCATCACGTGCATAGTCTCTAATGGCAGGTTCCACAGGGTCTGGGAGTAAGCCTCATGTTTCTTTCCCGCCGTGATGGGTAACCCTTGCCTATCACTTTTAGAGGTTTTGCTGTCGCTTGGTGATAGCCTCTGACCGGGGTATAAACTCTTCTTTCCGTTTCTCTCTAGGTGCTGTGTTGCCATCTGTCAGCTGAAGCTGTGAAATTCCCTGTGTCTGTTACTCAGCAGTCCCCAGTTGCTGTTTCTGTGGACACCTATCATGTCACTTTGGCTGTGCTGCAGGCTCAGGTAGTGGTTGTAAAAAGTTAGCCCGTGACCTTGTTCCTTCACCTGCCCCTAGGAAGGAGGAAAGGAGGACACAGTGTAGCGTGAAGAAAGGCCTCGTGATGCTGGAAGAAGTGGTGTTGCTGTTCTCATATTTGGCGTGGTGGCAGATAATCCAGATCTGCATGCCAAGTCCTGCTTTCTGTGTCTTGTTCTGCAGATGCTGGCTATGTAACGTAGCCATAACAAAATCCAGAGAGGTTTGAGATTTGGCATGGCAGCCTTTTCTACTGTGTTTTAAGTGGGTGTTTAAGAACTGAAAGGTCTGCAGAGTTCAGTCGTCCCCCCCCCGGGTGCAGTGGATAACAAGAAATGCGTCCTGTGTGTATATACACTTATGGTTGTGTCCTGGTTGTTGGCGTGAAAAAGAAATCCACATTGAGGAGCAGTATCCCCTTGATTATGGTCACGTGAAGCGGATTTTTTTCAGCGTGTTGAATATTGGAGATGCTTTTTCTAGAGCAGAAGCGAGGAAGCCAGATTTCGGGGTGGAGCTTGTGCCGCAGCTGCTTCTTCCCATAGGCCTGGGACTGCTTGTGTTCTCATGTTCTGTCTCTTACTGTCGCCCTGGTGCAGGGGCCTTTCGGTCGCTGAATTTGAAGCAGGGCAAGAAGAACCTAATGGAAGCAGAACCCCTTCTTGACCGTGGGTATTTGTTCTGGGCCAGGTGGAGATCCACTTGGAGGAGATTCAGAACGAAGGTCTTTTGGTGTCGTGGACATTCAAGGACAGACCGGACTTGAACCTTTCCGTTCTTCCAAGACTTCAACTTCGTGAGGTGAGTGGCAAACAGTGGGAGAAGCTGGGCTCGAGTAGTGGAAAGCTGAGAAAGGCAGAAACAGTGCTGAGACAGAAGGAAGGCTGTTACAGAGGGGAAAGGAGGAGTGGTTGGCAATTTGCTCTTGTGGCCCTTCAGGGCAAGCGAGGGAATTCTTTTGCCCTAGATTCTGTACTAGCTCAGCTTTGTCAAAACAGCACGTCCTCAAGAGGGCTGAAGTGGTACTGACACCTGTCATTTGCGTTTGGTGTAACAGCTGAATGGGAGTAAGTGTAGCAAAAAAAGGCTTTCTGTTTGCATAGGTCCTCCTGCTGTTGGCAGATGTTGAGCTGCAAAACGAGCTGTTGGTTTGGGGTTTTTTTTTGGGGGGGGGGGTGTGTGGAAGGGGAGTGGTGGTTTGGGGTTTTTGTTTGCTTGTTTTGTTTATTTGGGTTTCTTTTGAGAGGTTAGCGGTGCAGAATGGAACCCACAGGTGTTAGAGGCTTAACGAGCTGAATGCAGGAGTGCTTATGCTTCTGTGATCCAAATGGGTTGGTTCATTTGTTTGTTTTATTGACACCCTTGTTGCTATATCCCAAGTACTTGGAGGAATCGAGCTGTTCTCCCAGAAGTGCAGTGGTACCATCTCACAAGGTGGTGAGGATGTGGCAAACTTTAAAAGCTGTATTGTCAAAATTTGCAATGGGTATACTACAAATGCAGAGGGTTAGTTTGTCTCACGTAGACAACTTACATTTGCCTGCAGCTGTTACACAGAAGCTTTAAATAGTAGGGAGAGCAAGTACAGGATATGGCAAGAGTACTTGGGGTGTTATTGCCAGGAGAAAGACCGTGTAGTGTCTTAGAGGCGTGAGAGGCATCGGGAGCTGTATAAAAGGAAAACGTGTCTGCCTTATTATGATTTTTCTGTGTTTCCTCTTGATTTGTGGAGAGAAGAATGAAGGGAGAGCAGATCTCTCCACCATAAAGGATCTGATTGAGGATACCATCATCAGCACGCAGCCGGCCATGACGGTGAATCTGAAGGCCTGCACTGCTGGAGCTGGTGCAGTAAGGCTCTCTCCTCCTGTCACTCTTGTGCCTCAAGCTCTATGCCTCGGGGTGCTTCTGAGGGCTGAAGCTCATGCAGGAATCCAGAGGTCGAGCCTCGCTTCTGGGTGACACCTGCAACCTGGCTCGCACTGTAGTAGGAGTTGGGGTACTGTGGCTTGGGGAAGAGGGTTGATTGGAAACCACTCCAAAGGGCAGCTCTGTTCGTACACTGTTTTCTTAGTGCTGAGTGTCAGTTGTGTTGAGGTGGAGCCGAACTGCCCAAGACACACGTCTCTTTTGGCAGTCTCTCTGTTCCTCTGAATGTTGAGGTTCTGTCTGTAGCAGCCTTTGCGGTCCATGGCATATCGTCTTTTGTAGTCTGCCTGGCAGCCAGCGAGCTTGTGCTTGGCTGTCTCTTGTCTGCCTGAAATTCACCACCTGAAATAACACAGGGGCCCAACAGAGGTCAATAGCTTGGGGAACCTGCAGCATCTCTTGATGGCTCTGCAGGTATTCCCTGACAGCTGGTGCGAAGAGCTGCTTGGCAGATGTGGGGATGAACGTCGTGTGTCTTGCTGCTGTCTGCTGGCAAGTGAATGATAAAGGTGTGGGTCTTGCTCTTGTCATTTCTCAGATTCCCAGTGATAAGCTGACTCGAGAGTCGCTGTCCAGAGTAGCCCCTCTGGGTTCTAAGCTGTTGCTCCGGAATCTTCGAGTGCTGAACTTGGGCTGCCAGGGGAAAGGAGGTAAGCATGAAAACTATGCTGATCTGCAGAGGCAAGCGCACAGGTGGTGAGACTGGAGCAAGTGGAAGTTTTGGGTGGGTTTGAATGGAAAAAAATGGAAAAGAGGGGCATGCGCCCACCAAGCCACCACCTCGTGTTGAGTGCACATGTGCGCTCCATCCCTCTGTTGCAGGACTTGAGGAGATACGCTGCGTGGCAGAACTAGACAGCCCACCACAGCAGAAGTGGACAAGGCCAGTGGCAGCTGGCAGTGCCAGCACTGTGGCAGAAATGGAGTGGAACGAGGAGCTCTTTCTGTAAGTGTTGTGCCTTCCTCATGGCTGGCACAGCAGAGGTGGACCCGCTCGGTCTCTGGGTGTTATTACTGTGTGGCAGTAACTGGTGCAGACTGCACAAAGGTGAAGTCTGCACTCTGGGGCGGTGTGAGTTTGTGCTGCCTGTCTACTGGGCTACCAATTCCAGTGATTGGCCCCAGCTTGCATAGGTATTTCCTGCTCCCCTGGACTCTGTTTTAACTGGGTGGTCGGAAGCACTGATCGTGGTCGGCATGCGGGAGCAGCAGATGCAGAAGGCCTGGAGCGTAGATCTCGGCCTTACAGGCGGATTGCTCTCTCAACTTCCCCTGGCAGCCTTAACACAGCCCTGCAGGTGATACAAACAGGAGTTCTTGTCTTCTGTGTAGTTTGCTGCCCCTTGTCTCGTCCTCCAAAGTAGCACATGCATACTGAAGCTTTGGAAAAGGTGACGAGGCATGTGAGATCTGAGGGAGGGAAGATATGGAATGGGGTTGCTTGCTCCTTGGCTCTTTTGCCGATTGCCTAATATGAGCCTGTCTTCTTTTTTTTTTTTTTTTGTTCCAACAGGGAGTTGGGACACAGAAGTAGGGAGCTGAAACTACAGGTGCTGGGGAACAGCGGCAGAGGGGGAAGTGAGTACTGGCAGCCGTAGGACGGGTTGTAAGATGGGGAGACAAATGTGCCTAAGGGACTTCGTGTGCTTTGTGCCTGTGGTGGTTCAGTGTCGGTATGATTGCAATGAACTCTGCAAAGGATTTTTCATATCTGACTTTATGTGAGCCCCTCGCTGCGTAAAATAACTTTGGAGTGTGTTCTTCCAAGTGAAATGCTCTTACTCTGACATTTTTGGTACCCGGGAGATTCCCGTGGCCTGCCCATCCCACTCTGAAGCAGGGAGAGGGATGCGGGGATTTGCCCTGGTCTGTTGGAAGTTTACACAAGGCTCGTAACTCTGTTCATTTGCACTCAGTCAGGGACTAACTGCAGTGCTTATTTTTGATGGAGGCTGCGCAACACCCACCTCTTCAAGGTATTCAATTTCTGGATCGATAAAGGGGAGCGGAGGAGCGCTGCCTGCCTCTTCCCCACCTCGAACCTGGGAGCTACGGGGCAGTGGGGCTTGGCTTTGTTGACCCACAGGGCTGCTTCCCAAAAAGCAGTAGTTGCCAGGGAGATGTCTCAGATGCTGAGCTCACACGGTGCGTTCTGTTTTCCTGTTCCTTCTCGCAGGTGTGCTGCTGGCACATGCCACGCTTTTGCTTGATTCTTTGGGCAAACAACCTTCTGGGAGACAGGTCTGCTCCCTGGCCCCGGGAGCTGGGTGGTGCTGAAGCTACCATTATGTTGGAGGTGAGCCCATAACAGTGTTTGCAACGTGAGCCTCTAGCCAGACATGGGCATAACTGGGCTTGGGCTCATCGCAGGGGACTGTCAGACTCTTAGGTTGCAGAGGGGTGTCACTTGGGCCCTTGCTCCCCAAGCCTCCCTCTGCTCAACCGACTTGGTAGTGGGGAGGCTCCTTGGTGTCTGGAGCAGTAGCTTTTGTCACCCATACACCTGCCTTTCTGACTGTGAAGAGGAGAGCCTCTCTGAGCTGCGCTTTACCCTTTGTAGCTGCTATTCCAGGAGTCTCCTGCATCTCTGAATGCTCAGCACGCTACGTCTCTGCGAACCAGCATCACCCCCACTAAGAAGGTGGAGATGGACCGGACCATCATGCCTGATGGCACCATTGTGACCACCGTCACCACGATTCAGTCCCGGCCCAAGGCAGACTGCAAACTGGGTGAGGCTGCCACATGACGGGCATCTTGTACAGGTGGCTGCTAAGGTGGCGCAGGCTCCTTAGCATCTTGTGGCTGGCTGGAGGCTCATGCCTGGCCCTGAGGAAAGGGATTGATGCAGCCCTGTGGGGGGAGGCGAGAGAAGGACAAGCCTCTCTGATGCCTTTTGGCAGTGGGAGGTCCTGAGTCTTTAACGCAGATGCCGCTGCGTAACCTCTGTGCGATGGTGGGCCGAGTCCTTTGCTTCTCTTCCTCTATTTTCTTCACTGCTAAAGAAGTTACGCTGTACGTCCTGAGTGAGAACCGGAAGCACATTGAACTTGCTTGCTAGTGGCTATTGCTGCTCGCGGTCTGACATCCTGACGAATGTGGTGCTGTGTATCCCATGAGGCAGGGCTGGGAAATGGCATGAACGGGGTCTCACAACTGGGCTGCTTTGTGTGTCTTTTTCCGGTAGGCTTTCTACTACCTTGTTGTCACAAAGCCTCATGGAGCCAGCCTCTGCAGGCTCTCGGCATGTGCAGTTGAGGTTTTTTTAGGGCGTAGGGGGACACAACATGGTAGCGAAGTTGCCTAAACTTTGTCTCTGCTTACTGGTGTCTTTGTGTCTCTGCCTCTCTTTCACCATGAAGATTCGCCATCGAGGTCGCCTTCCAAGGTGGAAGTGACCGAAAAGAAGACAACTGTGCTTTTGGAGAGTGGCTGGCCCCGGAGCGCCCTGCCCCCCCAGAGCCGGAGA